TACCCTGTATATAAGTGATTGCAAATGGAATGTGAAAAATGAATAAAATATATTTAAAAAAAAATAAAAAAAAAATAAAAAAAAAAATAAAAAAAAATAAAGGGGAATCAGAATATTTTGAAGTCTGGAACAGATTTTATGATTGGTATAAAACAAGGTGACAAGTCTGGAACAAATGTATATATTGTGATTGGACAGAAGGATAGACAATATATTAAATAGGCTAATAGTTAATGGTTGAGACTAGCTGTATATAATGTGAATGTATAGTCACTTCGACTTCATGGTACTGCATTGTTTTAAATGTAAAAATAATAAAAATATATTTTAAAAAATTGGTTTGTGACAATCTGTGACACAGGCAGTTGAGATCACAGACTAACTTGCAAAAAAAGCCCCATTGTACACCATTTTCTTCATTAATTTTGTACAAAATGTCTTACCATTAAGCCATGATGCTTTATATTCTGTCCTTAAAGGATTCCTGAAACTCCGCAGTATAATTGGCTCTGTACCCAAGAAGTTATTTGAAGTGGCTGTATAAAGTGCACCATCTGAGACAAAGCAAATAAAAAGATGTATCTTTTTAGCCCTGCCACAATTTGCAGGAGGAGATGAGTATATTGTGTATGCTATAGCTCAAGGATAAATATAGAAGCAAAAGCATAAAAGACACAAGTTTGAGCCATGTCAAATCTCATATCTGGGTCACTACTACAAATGACACCTTCAGAATTTAATAACATGCATGCAGGTTATGGAAAGGTCTATGATCATCATCAACAATATGATGTTGGACTGGCACTGGGGTCTCACAACTGCTTTTCCTTTAAAATAAAAATAGAAATAGATTAAATATGGTTGTTTAGCATGTAAGTAGCCTAACATTAGTTTGAGTTACAACAATTCTCCACAGAATGATGAACCATGCACAACAATTAAATCTGCTTAATCTTATTTTAATTTAGCAAGTTGAATAAATGTTGCTATAATTCATGGCAAGACATAAAGGAAGTAGAAAAGGAAAACCATGGATAAAGGTTGATATGTGGTATCAAAAACAGAATAGGAATATCATTATAAAATCTACATATCATTAGAAAAACTACACTTTTGTAAGGCAGATCAGGATTATGAGTATTCAATTGCCAGGAACTGAATCTGACTCAATGGTATATAAGCAACCAATACATAATAAATAATATGTACACAAAAAGACATCCTTGCATTAAAAAAGCCATTATTGCAAGTCCAACAGCATAACTTTCATCATCTTAATATGAAAATGTCAACATTGAGGTCTGGCAAAGTCAGTCCCTCCTATTCTATACCAACATCTGTTCCGCCTCACTCGAGCTTACTATTTCTCCTTCTTGCTACTGCTATCTGTTCAACTGTGCTTGAAGGTGACTTGTCACTGACAGGAGCAAGAAAAATGGACTGAAGTCAGAGAATGGAGACAGCTACAATAATGAAGACTATATGGAATTACAATGGAGGTGGGAGGATAGAGTTGAGGGCATTTTGCTTAAAAGCTATGTATAGCCCTTAGCTGAGACTGACACTTTGACTGTTGTCAGCAATTTAGCTTCCATTGCAAACATATGGCTGACAGAATGAAGCAGTGGTCAAACATATCAGCAAATTCCAAAAATAGAAGCAAACAAGCAGCTAAGTTTAAAAGGCTATATTGATTGTCCAATGACAAAAGAAAATGGTTTGAAAAGAGTCTTTGTGTAAAATATCAGCTTCTTCTTTTTTTAAAAAAATTACTTTTTAACCAAAAAGCTGTTGCTTGCAGAATAGGGTAACATTCTTCCCCCCCACTATGACCTTGTACTTAGTTTGAAATCTACAGTATACAGAAAAGAACAAAGGATGTAAGGAGACAAAGTTGAAAAAGAATAAATATGTCATTAGAGTCTTTCAAAAAAATAATAATCCTACATCAGCCAACTATTGAGGAAGAGCTGATATACTGTAAAGGCAGATTGCATATGCAATTAGTTTCCTGATAGCTTTTTCAAACCAGTCTTTTATTCAAAGACTGATAAGCAACATCACATCTGAAATATATTCACTCTAATTTGAGTAATCCGTGCTTGACAACCATGACTAAATGAAAAAGATATCAAGACATTTTGCAGGGCAAGGAGAAAACTTACCAACCATTAAAGAGGCATAACTCAGAGTTGGTTCATATGGACATCTTCCTCTGCTTTCTGTAGCTCTTGTATACAACTTTAATTTCATATTGTCAATTACCTATTTTAAATAATTTCCAGAGAGCAGATGTATTAGTGACAATGTTCATACTTCTTGCTAAATCACAGTTTCCTTATCCATTAAAAGGTAAAGATCCCTTGACTCCATTCAGCTTCCCAGCAGAGCATGAATCTGGATGACTGAAACAGTGCTTTATATGAAACAAAAACTAAGAAGGTTCTATTGAGAAAAAAATCTCAAGACTGGAAACCAAAGTCTAGGATGTTCTCCATATTCTGATACTATAAAAATTCTGGTTATCAAAGGGTTGGGTGGAAAAATATAAGTGTCCTAAAGATCAACTGACAGTAGTCCATTTGCCATTTCCGCTAGCTGTCTATTCTAATTTTGCTGCTGATTGGAGTTGTGAAAAAAATCAATTCCTTTGAATCCATGTCCACCCACCTGAGTCAGATTTCTGTTAAATGTCGAGACCCAATATGCTCTATACTAGAACAGAAAGTGAGAATCTGATAATAAAAAAAAGAATAGAAGCCTTACTCATCAGACAATATAACTTAAAGTCTCCTTTGTAAGATTCAGGAGCTAGCTTTGATTATCCTAACATATAATGGCCTGAACAGAGACTGGAAACTAGACAACAATGCTTCATTGTCTAGTTTCTTATCTCAGACAACTAGATTGTATGGGATTCAAAAAAAATGTTACTATAGGATTCCAAAGCATTCCCAAGGCTATGTCATTTTTCATGTGCAATGTACTTCCTATCTTCATATACCAGAGGTTACAATAATGCATTGGAAAACCCATAAAGGTGTTCATATGAAAAGCAAAGGTTAGCCACCCCTGAAGGGAAGTATTTATCAGTATGAAACCAGAATAAGCTTTTGGAAGTATTCTCACTTCTCAAAATTATCTCACTATATACCATCATGAGTCCCTATTGGATGGCCGGAGATTATAAGGTCATGACTCTTGGCATGCAGAACCTAATAATCCTTTCCAATGTTCGTTTTCTGTTTATCTGATGAAATATGTAGGCAAATGTATACAAATATTTCAAATGTATGATGAAAACATAATTGTAAAGAATGAACATGTCATCTTTGGTGGACTTGTAATAAAACAAAGTAATATTTGGGCCAGATTTATATTTTAATGCAGGGATTTCTTAAAATAAATATAATATTGAAGCTAGAGAGTTTCCTTTTAGGATTACTCGTCAAAGAACTTGTGGTTGTAAATGGAGAGCTACCTGTACTTGCTTTTACAAACTATTGAGATGTGTATTCTACATTACTTATTTCTAGAATTTGTACACTATTTTGTAGCTCCCCCTGTGACTCAGAAAGTAGCTTAAGAAAAATACTGTGAGTAAACAAGAAATTTATTTGTTTCCGTAAGTAAAAGACATAGTGCAATAATTCAAAAAAATATGCCATGAACATACCATGTAACGACAAGCTGGATGAAATGCATTTGTGCCACATATATATAAATTTGTTGCATTTATTTTATGCATAATAAGTATATAATTGTTGCATTCTGCCTGAAAAATATACACAAATGATTAACTTCAGAAGAATTACAGTTATATTCTCAACCTTATAAAACTATTCTGATGTTGAATGTAAGCAGAGACCGGCATTGTAAGATCCCTGGGCAGAAGAACAATGCTTGTCTTCTAGAGAGAACACAGGGTACACTTTTCCAACAAATGCACTGATAAATGGTGCAGTTAAGTAATTTTGGGACACTGGATGAGCAGGAAAATTCTTTACATGATAATGTGTTTTAATTTCTCTCTTCAAAATATATTAAATCACTTCTAATGTAATTTAGACCCTTTTACTAATTCTAGGGAGCAATAAATGTATTTTCTCCAAAGTCTGCCTTGATAAATACTTCCCCTTCAAAGCATATATTAAGCCCTTGCTATTTTACTATTTATAAATTGATTTGGCTTGATTCCAATTCTGGACATGCTGGCCTTTCCCTGAAAAAGCAGGTCCATGACTTAAAGGTTCTGCTAGAATTGCAGCTACTGCTGAAGCAGCAGATGGAGATAATAGCCATAACTATCTTATTCTGGCACTCCCTTCAGGTGCAAGGTGGTCTAGGTTTCTATCAAGTAGTGAGAAGTTAGAATGATGTAGAAATGTTGTAATAAATCAATAACATATAACCATCCTTCTTCCTATACAAGACAATTCAGAGTTTTCCCAATGTTTCCTATATTTCTGTTCAAAAATGTGTTTTTGGAAGAGTTCACAAAGCAGTTTGCAGTGAAGCACAAATAGATGCGTACAGGTAGTCAACTTATGACCAAAATTTATGATAATAAGTGAGAAATTTGTTAAGTGAGATTTGTTACAACTTTTCTTGCCACATTTGTTAAGTGAATCACTGCAGTTGTTAAATTAGTAACCTGGTTGTTAAGTGAATGTGACTTCCCCATTCACTTTACTTGTCAGAAGGTTGCAAAATATTGTCATGTGATCCTGGGATACTACAGTCACCATAAATATGAACCAATTGTCAAGCATTGGAATGTAAATCATGTAACCATGGGGATACTGCAAAGGTCATAAGTGTGGAAAATGGTCATAAGTCACTTTTTTCAGTGCTGTTGTAACTTGGAGCAGTCACTAAACGAATTGTTGTAAATCAAGGACTACTTGTACTTAAAGGGGATCTAAAAATGTGATGATATTCTATTTAATAGTTAATGGTCAGGATAATCTCCAGACCATGCATATTACTACTTGGATTTGGAGATGGATGGAAAGAAAAAGTTCATAATTCAGTGTATTTGCATTAACAGCCTTAGCTGTTAAAGAGAGTAGTTGAGGGAAAGAAATCCTAACTAAAAAAAAAAAAGCCAACCCAGTTCTAGGCTGCATAAACAGAGGGATAGAATCAAGATCATGTGAAGTGTTAATACCACTTTATAATGCCTTGGTAAGGCCACACTTGGAATACTGCATTCAGTTATGGTCACCACGATGTAGAAAAGATGTGGAGACTCTAGAAAGAGTGCAGAGAAGAGCAACATAGAGGATTAGGGGACTGGAGACTAAAACATATGAAGAACGGTTGCAGGAACCGGGTATGTCTAGTTTAATAGAAAGAAGGACTAGGGGAGACATGATAGCAGTGTTCCAATATCTCAGAGGCTGACACAAAGAAGAGGGAGTCAAACTATTTTCCAAAGCACCTGAGGGTAGAACAAGAAGCAATGGGTGGAAACTAATCAAGGAGAGAAGCAACTTAGAACTGAGGAGAATTTTCCTGACAGTTAGAACAATTAATCAGTGGAACAGCTTGCCTCCAGAAGTTGTGAATAGCAATAGCAGTTAGACTTATATACTGCTTCATAGGGCTTTCAGCCCTCTCTAAGCAGTTTACAGAGTCAGCATATGCCCCAACACTGGAAGTCTTTAAGATGTTGGATATCCATTTGTCTGAAACAGTATAGGGTTTCCTGCTAGGCAGGGGGTTGGACTAGAAGACCTCCAAGGTCCCTTCCAACTCTACTATTGTATTGTATTATATTTCTCCTAATGAAACAAGGGGATGCGTTTGGAAAAGGTAGTTTGAAGAACAGAACCCCAGCTCAGTAATAGAGCAAAGGGTATACATCAGGGGTGTCAAACTCATGACGACATGTTTTCATCACATGATGTATCGTAAATTTTCCCCTTTGCTAAAAGGGGGTGGGGGTGGCCAGAGCATGACGTATCTGGCCTGTGGGCTATGAGTTTGACATCCCTAGTATACATGAATCAAGTTCTGTTTCTAGCTGTAGTATTCTCATTCAAAGGACTATATGAAAGAAGCCTAAAGAAGAGAAACTTTAGAGAGTTCCCATTGCTAGAACAGAGTTCAGAAATACCATTTAGACTGTCAAGTCCAAAATGTGGCTCTGTGATAATTAAATTAAAACATCTTAGACCAATGACAGTTAAGTTTCTACTGTAACATTTCCAGTGAAAGAGAACCACTGCTTCTGTCGGTAATTGGTCTCACTGCTGAAAGCTTTTGCTCTTAGGAAGTATTTAATTAACTTATTATAAGACTTATGCAGCCTCCTATCTATCATAACCCTTGGCAGCTCACAAAATAACAAAAAACACAACAACTGTCAAACCACAACAAAAGCTCCCTGCACCCATTTCCCCTCCACACAAATACCATACTCACATTCAGCTGTATTCAGCTGCAATTTCACACTATCCCAATGCTTATGGGAAGAACCAGCTTTTCAAGGCCTTATGAAAGGCTTAGAAGACTTACATTTTCTTATGACTACACATTCTTGATTCCTTTGTTTTCTTTCACAAAACATAGCTTCTGGTGCTATGATAATCCCTGTTAGAATTCTAGAGGTTGACGCAACATTTAAGTTAATGCCATTTTCAATGCAGGAATCCAAATTTCAAACACTATTTAATCTAGTGTTGTAGGAAACTGATGAATTTATTACAATTACATCTTGTCGTTTTCAGCAAATCTTGGCAGGATCACTTAATATGTTTAAAACCAGTAATTAGTTAAAAAAGGAAGTTTGATGGTCAAGCTTCCAATGTTTATATGGGTCTAGTCAGAAGTGAAACATTTTGGTGATGTGATGCGTTAGAAAGTCATTTATCCCCAAATTAACAATGTTGAAGCTATTCTTCAATTGACTCCAAAAAGGAAATCTAGAAATGGTTGGGAACAGTTGATTTAGACCAGTTTTTTTTATCACAATTTGTGTGAAGTTCAAATCCCAGATTTTTTTCAGCCATTTTAAAATAGCTGAGGTTGAAAAACACTGGTTTAGACTGTCCATTCCTATCTTCTCAAATGGTCCCACGTTACTGAAGACATTCAAAAATACTAGTAATAGTCAAATACTACTTCAGTAATTGAAGAGCATGTTTTATCAAGCCCCAATGTTTTAAAAAATCCTATTTTTATAGCGCTTTGTAAAGAAATGATAACTAGTGATAGTATTTGACCAAGAATAAAGAAGATTGGATGCTACCATAAGAAACCAACCTCAGCCATGGAACATAAATGTTTAGTTACCAGTAAAGGAGAAGTAAACCCCAATCAAGAAACTGCCAGAGAGCAAACAGTAAACAGCCCAAGCAAAAAAATCTCTAAGACCACCCCCACCAATGCTCACAGGGTAAGTCACCAGAATATAAACTGACAGCACACAATACTCCTTACTAGCGCTGATGATGTCACCTAGTTTGGATAACGAAACGTCTGCAAGAAAACAAGCAAGCTCAAAGAGCACCAAGGACCCTACATTTTTAGATACAGTACTAAGTGGACAATACAATCTCTTCATTATTAGCTGTTAGTCAAGCCCATCTATTAACCACTACTGAAATGGCACACTAACCCCCACACAACCAAACACTGTTCTTTAACACTGCAATCCAATCAGTTCACTGTTGTTGAAGACAGATTATTTGTCTTGAATTCAAAGAGCATGTATATCAGACAAAACTAATAGAATATACGACTATCAAACAGTCTTATACATTCACTTTAAAAAAAAAAGGAGGAACTCCAAACTTCCTCTAACCTAATCCAATCTAATGAAAACATTGCTCCAAGACTTCAGACACCAACTTCAGCTCATATCTCTTTCTCCTGAGATAACTAGTCTCCAGTAGTCCATAACACAAGAGTATCTGAGAACTAAGAAGAGGGTAATGATGTACAGAGGGAGCACTTGTTTTCTTTTCAGAACTGTAAAATAAGTTTTGAAAGAAACATTCAGCCTTTCCCCCAATGAGGACTATTTAGGGAAGAGAACTACTGGTCTGCAGAAATTAGTCTTTATCTTAAGGCCCAACTTATCAGTCAGGGATAGAAGGGTCGATAACTACCATGTTTCCCCTGAAATAAGCACTTGGCCTTATTCTCAGGAGGTCTCATTATTTTTGAGGTGCAGGAGGCGGCTAGAGTGGTCACCTCATGGCTGCTGCTGTGTTGCAATATTTTTGGGGAGGGCTTATTTTCAGGGGAGGGCTTATTTTAGCGCATGCGTTCAAAAGCCCAATTAAACTTATTATTTGAAGATTCTAAGAAGCCTTGTGTTTTGGGAGGACAACTGTCAAATTTCAAGATTAACAGCTGACTGCAGAAAATTACATCTCAAATAGGAGCTAGAGTTTTCAAAAATTATAGAAAACTTTTAGTTAGATGGGCTCATTGGAAATTCCAGAAACTGAAGATTAGAAATTTCCTGTCAAAGACCACCAGGGATGAGGAAATTGTCTTCAATATGGATATTTTCTTTTATTTAAAGCTATAGATTTAAAGTAGTACTGAAGTGTCAAATAGACAGTTATGCCTTCTAAGGAGATGGAGGTTAAAATAAAATGTACCCCAAGCAGGACATACTATTTGATGTATGGTCTGACCAAGAAAGAATAAAGTAAAATTTTTAATTTTCATGATTTGGAAGCTACATTTTTATTGATGAAATCCAAAGATTTGTCTGCCTTCTTTGCAACTCTGATTTATTATCTGACCTACAATTTG